TGGTTGGAGGGAAGTTCTCCCTTACTCAAAACACGAAGCATTTATTGACAATTAAGATTTAATTAAACATGGAAAATAATTTATCATAGAGTGAGAAGCATTATTTAAAAAAGAAATTATATTAAAAGGGGGCAATAATTAGTAGATGAGAAAAAAAGGGTGAAGCAATTCCCAAACTACTTTCCTCTGTGCAACTGACTTAAAAGTCCAAAACGACAATAAACGAATCACAACATGCGATGAGGGTGAAAAATAGAAAAAGAAAAGGAGGTAAAAAATAGGTTAGAAGCAATAAGATGCTTATTGAATAGATAGAGGACAAAGAGAAAAGTGGGAGGGGCACATGTGGTTATTATTTTTGAGACGAGAGAAGCAAAGGCTGGAGAATGAGATGGGGGAGTGCAATTAGTAGCAATTCAGCATGTGTTGATTGCACTGTCACTCACTCTTACACAACATGACACTGAAAACTGAGAACATCAGAGTACTGCATAGAAGAAATTGGGGGAGAAAGTTGGAGGAGGGTAGGGAGGGATCATCATTGCAATGCACCAGATTATTCTCTGGCATGGACCACCAATAGGGCAAGACTCACATGTCACCAAATCCTCTCTGTGTGTCCTATTATTTGATATTCCCCTGCCCTAATAATAATCCCTTCTTATCATCATCATCATTCTTCTATATTAATTCTTTTTTCTGCTTCTTCCTCACCTATAATAATAATACCATCATATACTCATTCAATTACCAATTGCCCCTCCTCTCATCCAATGGAAACATTTCTTTTGCCTTGTAATATAATTCAATCACCTTTACTTTGAATTTTAACTTGTTAGCATATAACTAGGCAACCCAATCAAGTTTTGTAAAGAAAAACTCATCATTATCAACACAATCGGGTCTAGTTAAATAAGTTTGAGTGTGTTTAAGAATAGTTAAATTTTGATTCAACTAGAGTTAATTAAAAAAAGTTACACTAACAATTTTATTTTATTTTTTATATTGAAACACATTTTTTTTCAGTTAAATATAGTTTTAAACTGATATCTAAATAAACATTTAGTCTCCTCAACATAATGAACCAAGATTCAAATTTGTGTTGAAAGAAATATCCAAATTTAATTTTTACCATATATATGTTGAATAAGATTATCTCCACATAAAAATACATGTAAGAAAACATAAAAAAAATCTGTTTTTTTTACATAATTGTTGTTTAAAGGATATATGGTGTTGATCGGATGCTTCCAAGATTAATTCCTACGGTATTAAAATAATACGGTTAACTAAATTTACATTTTTAATTATTAATTATTAACTTTAAGATATTAATTTAGTCTTGGAAGGAAGAAGAAATTTAAGATATTGAATATTTATTAACTTGACTAATAAACCTTTTTTTTTTTAATTTAGATGAATTGTTTATTTGGTTCGTATAACAACAATCAGATGGAGTCATATTATTACTTTAATTTTTGTCTAATTATATCTTTAATAGGAGTATATGGATCGTGAAATGCGTTGTGATACTATAATTAAAAGCACTCCCACTTTTAATTCACAAATCGTCCACTAGGGCTTCAACAAGTTGAAAGATAACAGAAACTTAGCACCCACTAATATCACAATCATATTATGTTATATTCATCAATTAATTGAAGCTACCTTTAATCGTTCTCTCTTTTCCGGTCTCCAAGGAAAAAACACGAGGCGTGTGTGGATCACGATCTTGAGGTTTATTTACACCCCTGCCAATAATAGCTGATTGTTATGCGTGTTGAATCTTCGTACTTTTTATTGTTTGTCTATTTATGGCATCCGTAAATTGTATTATTTAACTGATAACTTAGTTGTTACACACACAATAAGGGGCCACAAATGCACGCATAATTGATCATATAGATGTGTAGTAGCAATATTGAAAATGCATGATTAAGTCATTTAGAAATATGCGCAATCAAATTTTAATGCATTTGAGAAATTTTCCTTTATTGACAGGCGCCATGCCTGACACATGTGCTAGTGCCAGATGTTTAAACGATTCTAAATTATTTGATTTTTTTTTGGAAGAAAGTGAGAGTAAAAAGAAAAGTCTAAGACTCTAGTATGGTAATTCTAATTATAGTTCACCTAATGGAGAATTATGCCAAAAGGTCAAAATTCTGATTCTATTTGTAATCAAGCAATGACCTTTATTTTTAGTGTATTTTTCCCTTTTTATTTTGATCCGGTACATAACTACATTTTTATTGCATTTACAAAAGGTAAAGGTATGAAGAAAACAAAAGTAAGTCTTTGTCGATATATGTCATTATCCATCTAGATTAAACTAAGTAACTTGTTTAGACGGAAATCTTAATATAAACATTCATCTGTACTGTTGTTTTCTTTTCCTGCTGATGTTTACACTC